CACTTTCCTATCCTCGATCCGCTGCCCTGTCTCCCTCGCCTCGGCCAACTGCTCCACCTCCCCCAACCTTCCTATCCTCGACGCACCGCCCAATCTCCCTTAACCTTCTTATCCTCGACCCATTTTCCTATTTCCCCAACCTTCCTATCCTCGACGCACCGCCCAATCTCCCTTAACCTTCTTATCCTCGACCCATTTTCCTATTTCCCCAACCTTCCTATCCACCCGGACTTTTTTATCCTCGACTCATTGCCCTATCTCCCTAAACTTTTCTACCCTCAATCCCCTGCACTATCTGCCTCAAACTTCCCACCCTCGACCCACTGTCCGACCTCCCTCAACTTACTTATCTTTGACCCACGACGCTATACCACTGAGTACCTAACCTAACGGCGCTAAAATTACGACTCGACCGTCAAAATGAACTTTACCACCTTGCGACCAATTCCCATGTGTTATACTGGTCGAGTATGCCAATGAGATGATTCAATCGTACGTCGACAAAACATGATTGACGGCATTCGTAAATGTAGGCTGGAATCTCAATTGGTAATCAATAACCATAATTAGTGGATTAAAAATTTGCTACTAATTAGGCTACTGATGGCATCGGGCTTGGAGTCACTGTTTTTAAAATTTTAACAGGCCTTTCGATATCGAAATATCTGAGTTCCTTTTCAGAAACTCATTTAATGTCGCCTGTATTTCCGTGCAGGGCAAAACGACGAGGAAGTAATCGAATATTTGCACGCTTAGTCTTTTTTGTTCTGCCATATCCTTGTTGTATATACAAATTTTTTTTACGTGGCTGAGGAGGCTGAATAGTCAAAAACAGTCAAAAATATAAGTCGCTTAGTGAGTGTAATTCCTCCCAAACTATTTTTAAGACATGAAATGTTTTGTCGTAGCTAGCGTTGCCAACTGCCCTCCAATCCAGCGTGTAGTCCCAAAATTGAGCTTATCTTATCTGAAACTTATGAAGCTGCAAAGGACGCAGCTTTTACTATAAAATGTCAAAGAAAAATACTTTATACGAACAGGAGCACTATTGCTCATTTCGGATCGGCATCATATTGTCACAAGACTCAGGACATGGCCAATTATTAAGGGCATAAAACGGCTTGTTAAAATTTAGAAAACTGTCATTCCCAGCAAGAAACCATCAGTAGCCCAATTAGTAACACATTTTTAAACTGTCAATTATGGTTATTGTTCACCATTTGAGATTTCAGCCTACATATTATACGAATGCCGTCAATCCTGTTTTGTCGACGTACGATTGAATCATCTCATTGGCATACACGACTAGTTTAACCCAAGGAAGTTGGTCGCAAGATAGTAAAGTTCAGTGTGGCGATCGGGTAGTAAATAATAGTACTGAATAGTATAGCACCGTAGGTCAAAGATAGGTAGGTTGTAGCAGATAGGGCAGTGGGTCGAGGATAGGTAGGTTGAGGGAGATAGGGCAGTAGGTCGAGAGGGGAAAGGTTCAGGGAGATAGAGTGGTGGTTCGGGGATGCGAAAGTGGGGGATGGGGCAGTGGGTCGTGGATAGGAAGGTTGAGGGAGATAGGGCAGTGGGTTGAGGATAGGAAAGTTGAGGGAGGTCGGGCAGTGGGTCGAGGATAGACAAGTAGATTGATGTAGGGCAGTGGGTCGAGGACAGTTTTCAAGTGAACGAATAGCTCGCGGAGGTCTAAGTGTCTTTAACGGAGTCCTGAGGGTCCGTACGGAGCATTTTGAAAACCTAAAGTCTACGTAGTAGGATGTAACAATGCGAACAACTGAGTACCGAATGTTTCCTCGACTTTTGATCTCTTGAATTCTTCCTCTTGGATCTACACTCTACCATTGCAAAATTATGGTTCTTATTTCAAGAATTAGGACTTAGTTATTTGATTAGGACGTTAGGACGCAGTAAATAAGGAAGTGTATACTCGGGGAAACATTCATAATTATAATCAGTGATTTATAAAGTTGTTATACATAAATACGCTACACAGACGCAATGCTCATATTTATGGAAAATTTAAATTGTTTCGCGATCCAGAGCGGGGGGTTTCGCGTCCCAAATTTGGGTCGCGACCCCGTAGTTGCGGACCCCTGCCCTACAGTACGTCTAATTGTTACGTATTTTATGACTAAGATATTACTTCTAATTTTAAGATTAGAGTGACTAAGTTTAAACACGTAATCTATTAACCAAAAGCAGATAGTTTACCCAATATCCTATAGTCCTATAAGTGTCCCTGTCTAGGCCGGCTTTTACCTCTTCTTTCCAGTGGAGGGGTACTGGTACTGGTGTGTGATGAACGACAGGCTTTGCTTCAGGGTCTATCATAAGTTTTTTGGCGGCCCGTCCATCATATAGGGAGCGGTTGGTGTTCGCAGGTGTTGAAAGTGCTAGATTTGTATTATTCGATTAGATACTCCTGTAGCTTCTGTCGGTTTTCCCCATTCGGCGAGTATGGTAACGACGTTGGGATTGGTGGGGGAAGTTTGCGGGGGACATGTGCATATTTATATGTCACCATTTTTAGTCCCTGTCAAAGTTTTGTCCGTCATGTTAATTGATGTCATTTCCCTGTTGACTCCGCCAATCTTTGAAAAATTAAACAAGTTCAATGCATGCTTTTGTCGGTAATGTAAATGATCTGACGGGAACGAACTATTTTCCCGTTATCAGTTGTTCCTGAAAATCTTGCAACTAGGGCGCCAAGGATATGTATCCATTTGTTATTGGTCGCAGTCATTGTTGTTGGGGTTTGAAATTCTTTTTAAACCCCAATTTAGCAAAGTCAGATGGCAGTATGTCGATCATAATATCAAAAAATAGCTGTGGATCTGACTTGCGTTTTTCCCATCTTTGGCACATATTGGTGGTGGTCCAGAGCCATTCCGTTGGATGAATTCTTGTAAACTGAGCGTAATGAATTGGACATAGAGTTCTCCATGTCATCAGGTTCCTGTGATGGTTTGACCATTTTTGACGATGTTTTGCCTCTACAAACTGATTCAAAATGGTGTAGTTTCAAGCAGTGGTAGCAAGTCTGATTGAAAGCAGGACAGGAACGTTATTTGATTCTCAGTGGAGAACTTTTGCCGTGTGTTTCTCCGCAGTAAGTACATGTGGCTTGCATCTTATCGGATGTGGGCTTGACTTGAATGCGCCCCTTTCGATATGAGCTGATGGCGTCTGTGGACTGGGAATCTGTCGCTTGGCAGACTGTCGCTTGGCCA